GAAGGAGGAGGAGGAGGGGGAAGGTGGTTCTAGGCAGGGGGGGACCGGAACGGGCGATCGCGATGAAGAGATTCGTACAGCTGGAGATGGAGGCGATAGGAGAGCTGACGAGAGCGATGGAGGAGGTGGAGCAGCTGCTGGGGAAAGAGCACTGGGTATGGGGACACCTGAAGGAGCAGAAGGAGGAGGCGCTGGCTGCGACGATAAGGAGGAGAGCGAGGAAGCGAGTGAAGACGTGAGGGAGGGAGGAAAGAAAGGAGGGCAGAGGAGGCAGCCTCAGGTCAGGAGACCAGGAGCAAGCGGGGGGAGGGGAGGGAGGGTGAAAGCAGGAAGGATGAGTGCGAATAGGAAATGGATGTAGATGGTGATGAAGAGCTACGACGAGTACAAGGAGGAGAGTGAAGAGGAGGAGAGTGAGGAGGAGGAGGAGAGTAATGAGGAGGAGGAGAGTGAGGAGGAGGGGAGGGGAGGGGGGGTAGATTAGAATTTTCATAAAATTGTACACGAAGAGGTCAGACCCTCCTAGAGCAGCAGATGACTCCTGAAGTCTTCATCCCATTAACTCGCATCACCATCCTCCTCCCGTTTCCAGTCTGAGGAGTATCCACATCCATGGGCTCGTCATCGTCCTCCTCCTCCCTCTCCTCCTCCTCCTCCTCTTCGTCATCCTCCTCAGAAGCGATGAGCTTCTTTGCCTCCAACACTTCACTCGTCTCCTTCACGCTGGCAAAGTCTGCCCCGACCTCATAGCGCAGCTGCTTCCTAGCAGGTGACCAGGACATCTTCACGTCCTCGGGCTGAGGACGGAGCCTAACTTTCTCCTCGCTCCCGTTCTCCTGCTTGCCGACCTCCGTCCCGTTGCTGTTCTCCGCTTTCTTTCCTTGCTCGCTGCCTTCCCTTCCCATTCTGTCTCCTCCGAAGACCCGCAGGAGCTTGTCCATGCCGTCCTGCATGTGCTCCATCCTCCTGCCAAGATCGTCGATCTTGCGCTCCATGTCTTCGATCTTTTGGCGAGGAAGAGGACTGAGGGAGGAGTGAGACGCGGGAGCAGACAGCGAGATGCGAGGACAGGACAGGACAGGGCAGGGCAGGGCAGGACAGGACAGGACAGGACAGGACAGGGCAGGACAGGACAGGACAGGACAGGACAGCACAGGACAGCACAGGACAGCACAGGACAGCACAGGACAGCACAGGACAGGACAGCACAGCACAGGACAGGACAGGACAGGACAGGACAGGACAACAGTAGAGTTGGAACGGAGGACAAGGAAGGAGAGCGAAGATGGCAAAATGGAGGGAGGAACAGGGAAGAAGGAAACGAGGGAGGGGGGGAGATAGGAGAGGAGTGTGGAGGATAGACTTACTCTGACCCCGCTGGTTCTCTTCCCTCGAGCAGAAGAAATTTCAAAACAAAGATCATCGCTGCCGTTGCATTCTCTGCCGACTGCCCACTCAAGGCAACCTGTCTCTGTACGTACCTGGAAGGATCTTTATCACCCTTGGAGGAAAAAAAAAGTCAAACTGCTCTCTCACTTTCTCAGCTCGTTCCTGATGACTGTTTCAAACTGTTGAGCATCCTGAAGGCAGGCAGCCAGTCAGTGGAAAGAGACGTGACAAGAGGTAGAAGAGAGAGAGAGAGAGAGAGAGAGAGAGAGAGAGAGAGAGAGAGAAGAGAGAGAGAGAGAGAGAGAGAGAGAGAGAGAGAGAGAGAGAGAGAGAGAGAGAGAGAGAGAGAGAGAGAGAGA